CAATAATATAAAACAAATAAAACGCAAAACGTAGTAAAAGATAAGTAAAATTATAACAAACAAATTTTGTAATTAGACGGCTATTGTGTCAGAATGATAGCACGACTCAAGTACGCCCACAATCTAATCGTCTGAGATAATAGCATCAAAGCCTTTATATGGAGCTAGAAGAATAACACGAGTTTGTTGGCGATGAGATAAAAATAATATAATGCGATGGCAGTGGGCATCAGGGCGGATTAGGGTCAATCGCTTGAGGCCATCTGCTTGGATAATTATAGACTATGCGAGACGTCTCCGATAGTGCAGCCGGACTGACTCGAAGAGAGTATTCGATGAAGCAGAACGTTCGTAAATCCAAAAATCGACGAACACAAGTAAATCTAAATAATATATATATCAGGTTTGTTATATATTGCGCTCTAAACGTCTAACTGAGAGATGTGATAAAAATCTAGAGCAACAAACACAAAAGCGTGGGGATATTACAGTCGCAAAACATTAATTAGGTTAAGTATCAATTATGATTTTTTTTCTCTTTCGGTTACATGATGTTTAGATTTAAGCAACAAACAAATGATTATTACATTTATTGTTCAATGTTAGCTTCAAATAGATTCAAGTACATACATTCCGTCTTTAGAACATAGGGTTTAATCAGAATCACGCACTCACTAGCTTGCACTTGAATTTTTAACACAATAAATTTCATTGATTGATACGCATATAATTGTATATTTTTCGGTTTTTGTGCAGCAAAGAAATAACTTACTTTTGAAGAATCGTTGTCGTGAATGTCATCTACATTTATTTGCTAGTTCAATTTCTCTAATGTATTGTAAAGTCACACATGAATTCTCTTGTGTGGAAGAAATTGTGTACAGAAATTTAAGGAAGATAATTATTAGCTACTGGAAGCTATTGGAAGTCGAAATTTCAATATACTCATGCTAACCCACCCTACAGATTGAAACATACGATTTCTTCATGAATATGCAATATCCATGCGGATTCATATTCACACTACAAGCACATTTATTTTTTAAAATATTCCATTTTCCTTCACCTATACTTTTATTGTTCTTATTTTATTATTACTTTATCAAGGGACCGGTGCTGAGGTGCGTATTTACTTAAAAAATATTACCTGCCTTCCTGATTTGAACGCCGGCATGGTCTAGTCACTCAATACCAATGAATAGACCGGCCGTCTTACTGTTCGAAATAATTGTTATTCATTTTCTGTTGTGTCAGCGTAGTAAAGTATAAAAAAACAGATTAATGTAACAAAGTGTTGTACCACTAGAACCACCACATTCTACGCTTTAATAGCAAACCGAATTCGAATGTAAATAAATCTTTGCATCTTGGTGATTTAGATCAACGTATTAGGCCAAGGTAGTAAAATAGAGGGAAAAAGGCCTAGGGGTAGAGGTCCCAAACGATGGTCGGACTAAATAACGGAGGAACTGGGAATACCTATCAGCGACGACGCACTCCACCGGGCTGCAGCGCGGGATTGATGGAGACAGTTGGTTGACGAAATCGGACGGAGTCACGATCCTCAGCAGTAAAATAGAGGGAAAAAGGCCTAGGTGTAGAGGTCCCAAACGATGGTCGGACCAAATAGCGGAGGAACTGGGGATACCTATCAGCGACGCACTCCACCGGGCTGCAGGGCGGGATCGACGGAGACAGTTGGTTGACGAAATCGGACGGAGTCACGATCCTCAGCAGTGAGGGACCGATCGAAGAGAGAGAGTCAAATTATTGTATTGCCATCGGCCTTGGTGAGAGTACAGCATTTAATGTTAATCTCACATCTTCAATTTAGTGAAAATCAAAATGAAATATCACGTTATATAATGGGGAATAGAGGGAAACATGTTTTTTTTAATAAAGGCTTATAAAAAAACCATGTTTCCCTTGTAACAATATTTACATACAGAGACTAACAACAGACTGAGTGGTAGTTAAACAATAACAGGTACCTCTGCTTTTGTTATTATGTAGTTAAAAATTAACAAACTATTTAACTTTTTTTCATTACATTCCAAGGGGTGAATGACATGAATTTTTTCGACCGTTATCGGATATCAATAACTTAATCAAATCAGCCAACTCAGATTTTCGATTTACTTGATTGTTTAATTTGATTAAACAAGAAAATAATCGCCAAAATTCAGAGCACAGAAGCGGACACATTTTATTGCAACACTAAAATTTTATACCGATAATAACTTCCACAGGCGGTCGCAAAAGTCTAATTTTATGTTTCTGTAATCTGCAATTTAACAAATTGTTTCGTAATGCCAAAATTGCAAATAATCATTACTAAATATAATAATATTTTAAAGAAAACGAAATCCTGATATACTGGCGTTTTCGTTCATGAATTTGGAAAGAATAAGTGATACTAAACTTAATGGGACTCGAAAAAAAAGAAGATTTGAAGTCCATCGATAATTTAATAAATTATTGCACATCAAAACTTTATATATTTCTTCTGTGCGAGAACCCCTCCTAAACGGATGGACCGATTTTAATGAAATTTTCTGTGTACCTTCAGGTGGATTCGAGAATGATTTACATTTACAAATCAGCCCGGCAGATGGCGCTGCAGTTGGTAACTAAGATATTTATCTTTCCTAGAAATAATTTATATGGCAAAACAACGTTTGGCAGGCCAGCTAGTTATATGTATAAAATTACTGTTTTTCTTGTCGTTAGCAATAACGTGTACATTTGTTATATTATCACGGTGCTATTTACTTAATAATCGGTGTTATGTATTCAGTAGTGCTAACTGCCGCTAGTGGGAATACCAATTCTTGTGTAGAAATATTTTGAGCTGTATTTTTTTTATGGTAAAGCGTTGTTGTACGCTGGCACGATTGGCCTCATCTTGTTATTACTGTGAAGCAACGGTCATCATTATAACAATTTTAAAAATGCTAATTTACATACTCATATTTTAAAGCTAGGGCACACAGCTATGAAGTGGGTAAGTTTGTCTATCAATCGATACCTTACTGGTTTTAAGATAAACATCACAAAATTTCTAAACATCTACTCCTTAAATCAGCTTAGTAGATCTATGCCCTAGGCTCAACCATGATGCCACACATCCTGTCGTAATATAAGTTATTAGAGATTTAAAGATTTAAACACAGCGAAACGGTGCTAGTAGAATTATAAGCATTACGAAGTGCGGTAAATACACTAGAGATTGCATCTTTACGCAGCAGCTGCGTGATACGGTACATTCATTCATTTGCTCTACTCGATTGTTCACGGCTACAAATTCAACGATCAGCCTTTAAAAGCCTTATTATGTAATGTAAAATCAGCTCAAATAGGAATGGAAATGAATAAGTGAAAAACGTAAAACACCCAAAACCATTTCTTTTTTTCTTCCTAGCTATGCTGATAGCCTTGCGAGGCTATTTCAGCTTCGCCCTAACGTGTAGGTGAGCTCACGGGGCTCAAACCGAAGTGTTAAGTGCTAATCTACCACCGGATCGGAAACGCGACCCACTGAGAAGATCCGGCCAGAAACTCAGTGGGCTGTGTCTATGGGCCAAAACCATTGCAAGTGGTCAACTATAAACCATCCAATTACACTTAAGATAACTAGGGCGCATTCGAAGAAGAAATATTATCATTAGGAACCAAAGTTTGATTCGCGACAGATGCAAGCCTCCACGTCGATAAATAACGTTATCCGAAACAAGGGTAACACGGTACAGTTTATGTGTAGGGTTCAAAACAGACAAAAGCAGATATATCGAACACGAGACGTGTAACAATTTTGTATATAATTGCACTGTTACTGTTGAGATAGCAAATGAACAAGTGTGCTTCAAATAGATAGATACACTTTATCAACAAACATTTAATATCAGTCAACGTACCAGATATTTCTAGAAGCGTACACGAGTCGAGAAAAATTTATTAAAGCATCGAAAACATACGGAACGACAATAACGAGAAAGATTTTTCCGATGATAATAATAATAATAGTTGTTACATTGCCAAGTGTGTTATTAAAATGAGTCAGATCCAAATTCTCTTGATTATTTTCATTTTTTGACATGCGTATATACTATTAACGAAGTATGTTGTGATAATCTGGGAGAATTAGAATAGTTCAATGACATAAATTTTATAGTTAATAATGGAGATAAAAACAAATTGCTTTACGTACGCTATACAAATTTAATCAGTCTTTGGGTCTGGTTAAAGTTTAGTATCTTTTTCTATGTCGCGGCGGCATCTTCAAAGAATCGGGTTCCAGGAACCCTCGGATCGAGAGTATGCGGAACCATCACGACCGACTGACACAGCACCAATAGAACAGCTCACATACCGAGTGGACGGCGTAATGTAAAAAACTAACTGATTGTGCTAGTGTAATACATTCCGAGATATACCTACCCGGAGAACGAATGGTGAAGTGCGATAATTGGCCCAATTAAAAGTCAAGTGTTTGGAATGAAGCATTACTGAATTATAATCATTGAAGCGCAACAACATAGAATTGTTCGTTTTTGATTGCTCAAAGACGTTTTACGTTTTAATTTTATGTAATTAGATCTAGGAAAACTGGTAAACGTACGGTTTTGAAATGATCTCAATGAATATATTTATGTATATTATACTTATGCCATCCAATTCCTAAGATCCGCTTTTTATTTATTTATTTGATTTTTGCAACTTTTCTGTAAATTAATAACTAAATTTATGTATTACTATGTGATACATATTATGTATATACATTTTTATATATCAAATTAAGCGAGAAAAAATAATGAATTCGAAAGTTTATATTATACCTGAATACCTGTCAACGTATGGATTTTTATGTATTTTTCTTTACATCCTGGTCGTTTTATCAACGTGCTTATGTTTAATGGAATTTAGTTTTTATAAGTTGCTGTGTGTGAACCGTCTCTCGAATAAGGGGATAAAATATATTCAAGTAACTGTGATAAACTTACCATAGCTTGCTCGATCTTGTTGTCGATGGCCACCGCGCTGGTGCCTGATGCGCTGTAACAAAGAGAAAATTCAATTATTAGCCAAATGTACTAATTAGTGAAAAGAGGTTCATTTCAAAAATATCTGAGGTGCTCATAGGAACGATAATTATTCAGATAAACGTTTCTAATACCTATAGGAAACGGTGTGGGCGTTACGAATAACCAACACTATTATGAATATTTTGATCGACGATCAATTATCATGGAAATACGATACATAACTATACTTATGTAACTATACTTGAGACCTTAGAACTTATATCTCAAGGTGGGTGGCGCATTTACGTTGTAGATGTCTATGGGGGCTCCAGTAACCAATTAACACCAGGTGGGCTGTGAGCTCGTCCACCCAGCTAATCAATAAAAAAAACAGATTTTGGATTATGATATCGTGGTTCTATTATGAGTAAAATATCGTGAAAAAACCTGTCGATTATCGATTTCGAACAAACATTTTATTGAAGTTTTTCGTTCATGCAAATTCCAAGTTAATACGTTTATCGCAACTTTGGAATGCGATACGAATGCAAATACCAAATACCTTAAAAAAATCCATGACTTGAAAAAATGCGCTCCACAGAACAGCGCTTTTATTGATACAATTTATTATAATAAGGCCGCAATACATCGATGCATTGTGATAGATTGTTTACAATAATAGCAGATTCGTAACAATACCATAATTTATAGAAAAGCTTCCGTCGAATGCGGATGATTACAGCAACGGCAAATAAACCGTCTGGTTTATTAATCTATCAATACATTATTAGTATCGCTTAATCAACACATCACAACAAGAAACAATAGAAAACCATAACGCAGTCTTACACAGACTGGTTGAAAAAATTAGATCGATTCTCTCACAGATTTCATTCTAGTATTATTATGTTAAAAAATTTCTTAATCTAAAGACGGTATAGTTATTTGACCCAGAAATGTTGATTCGCTCAGACTCACAGACGCCGAGTGGAAAAAAGAATACAAAATTAATACAAAATCATTTCATAACTAAGCGATTCGTTGCACAATCATGTTTTGATTTTATTTCAAGATTCCTTCTGGGAAACTGATAGGTACGATTATAAAGGCAATTGAATATCTATTGGTTGGTAGGAATGTCATTTTTATATACAATGCGTCTATCTTATGTTAAAGAGCCATATAACTGCAATCCGGATTTGACTACACACTTTCTTATTGTGAAACACTCAAAAGTACAAGATCGAAATTTTGATTATTTCGAACCTTATTTCGTTGGATCGTTCAGTACATGTTACAACGTTCAGTTGACTTTCTCGCGGGTGAGGAACGTATTCCGAGAAGCACCAGCGTAGTGAATAGCACGACAGCTGAAGCTGAGGCCATTGGAGCGTTGAGGATCACGCCACGGATTGATTTCGACCGGTTCGGCGCTCTACACATGAGCGAGGACCGCGAGCCTCTTAACCGCAAGTCTGCGTTTAAGCTCTGTTGCGTGCAACTATTTAAATACAGTTACATAAATAAACGTGCGGAGGCAAAGCCGTATGAAGAGACGACAAATCCAAGTTGACAGATAAACAAAACTCTAAACGAAACGCGCCACAAACCCCGGTCATCGTTCTGGTCGAATCCGTCGCTTGCGAAGAAGGGCTCGGCGAGTAAATTAACCCATATACACAGACCACTGAGTTTCTTGCCGGATCTTTTCAGTGGGTCGCGTTTCTGATCCGGTGGTAAATTCTGCAAAGCACGGCTCTTGCTAGGGCTCGTGTTAGCAACATCATCAGGTTTGAGCCCCGTGAGCTCACCTACACGTCGAGGAGAAGCTGAAATAGCCTCTCAAGGCTATCAGCATAGGTAGGAATAACTGACGCCACAAACATGTTCAAATATTTGGTGGATTGATTGTGTAATATTAAGTCGAAAAAGCGGTCGAGTATGAGTGCAGCAATGCGCACTATAGTTCCGTAACAATCGTCGGCACATTAAACTTTGACTTTCTGGCAATATGTATAGCAGATATTAATTGATGAAAATAATCAATTTAGATAATCTCGTTAGTGGTATTCGCTCCATTTTAATATGGTATACTCGTAGTGACATTAGCAAATTCTCGACATTTAAGCTAATATTTTTTGCTAAGACCGATCGACAACCTTCGACACACCTGTTATTATGACGAGTTACAAGAGCCCATGTGGGATGGCCACTTACTAGATGGACAGACGACCTAGTGAGAATCGCTGGGTCACGTTTGATGCAGGTGGCAACGGACCAGCCGCACTGGACATCAGTCGGAGAGGCCTATATTTAGTAGTGGACATTGGACAGGCTCAGATGATGATACGAACGTTACCAATCCCGTTAGCATCGGTCATACTCGACGGCAAAGTCGCAACTTCTTTTTTTTATTGCTTAGTTGGGTGGACGAGTTCACGGCCCACCTTGTGTTAAGTGGTTCCCGGAGCCCATAAACTTCTACAACGTAAACGCCGCCACCTACACCTTGAGATATGAGTTCTAAGGTCTCATGTTCAGTACAACGGCTGACCACCCTTCAAACCGAAACGCATTACTGGCTTCACGGCAGAAATAGGCACGATGGTGGAACCTACCCGTGCGGACTTACAAGAGGTCCTACCACCAGTAAACTTTACAATACTGTAATAATTGCAACTTTGTAATAATAGCTGAGATTAATACTGTATGTACATATGACAGGGTCATGTCCTACCCTTCAAACCGAAACGCATGACTGCTTCGTGACAGATATAGATCAAGATAGATCAAGGTACCAGTGCACACACACAGTCTGGCCACAAGTATACAAATTTATAAATGCAGCTAGTATAATTTAATAATAAGGTATTCAAACAGTAAATTTTAGGCTTGTACTAGTTTCTATTTCATATATGAATTTGTAAGTTATTAAGTAGTATTAAGTAGTTAAGTCTACTGGTGGTAGGACCTCTTGTGAGTCCGCGCGGGTGGGTACCACCACCGCGCCTATTTCTGCCGTGAAGCAGTAATGCGTTTCGGCTTGAAGGGTGGGGCAGCCGTTGTAACTATACTTGAGACCTTAGAACTTATATCTCAAGGTGGGTGGCGCATTTACATCGTAAATGTCTATGGGCTCCAGTAACCACTTAACACCAGGTGGGCTGTGAGCTCGTCCACTCATCTAGAAATAAAAAAAAAAAGAAGTTATAATAATACATGGAAGCGACGAAATTCGAGTACAAGAGAAAGTCTTATAGGTGACAACCGTTTCTCAGTAAAATAAACGACTAAACATAATTTACTAATTATACATTCACGCTGTTCGAATGATTTAAAGTTCACGCACCTTGTTTTATAATAACGTTATGTACCTATGTACGTATGTATGTATGTACATATCACACGGACATATTAAATGTTTACTTTCCCTGCGCTTTCGGATTTGACAAATATAAACACTGTAACTGGAGGGATTGTTTAATTAAATAAAAAATATTTCTCTCAACAGTGATTACGAAAAACAAAGATAAAGAAGTTCAAATAATGCTTATTTATGCGCCTTGATATTATTGTGATAATTGTTTTTCATAGTGGTAAGCCGTTTTTAGAACCACACAGGCAGGTACCCCAACCTGCCAATTTCAATCTCAAAGTAGTCACGCGTCAGATTTATTCATGGGACAGTCGTTATAATTAAGATTTCAACCTCATGTCTCAAACTGGGTAGCCGCATTCACGTTGTGATATCTGATGGCTCCGGTAACCACTTAACACCAGATAGACCATGAGCTCGTTCACCCAACTAAGTAACAAAATAAAGCATACGGCTTCGCCAAAATTTAAGTGTTCAAGAATCAAGTTCAAAACTATTGAAACCTATACAGAAGAAATAGCTGTTAACGTAGGGTATTGCAGGGGGTCTGAACGGGTTCTGACCCCGGACGGAGATCGGACGTCGGGTGTAAGAGTGCAGGGGAGTCGTTTAGTGGGTGGGCCCTAAAATCCTTGGGCCCGCGATCTGCTCTCAACACCTGCAGATCGTTGAGTCTCACATACCCCGCGCGCCCCCTAGGCGCGGGGACCTCGTAGGAGGTTCGGCCCCCGGCCCGAAAAAAAAAAGGGGGGTNTTGAGTCGTCTATTATCAAAGGTGGCAATCTGTGCATTTGGACAAAAAAATGTTATTGATATGTCAATACAGATTGATTTGAATATAATCGTCTCCTTCAAAGAATACGGTTCAAAACCTGCATTAAATAAAGGTTAATACTTAACCTGTTATTTATCTAAGATGTCGTTCCGAAGAGTTTTGTGACTGCCAATGGAATATAAAGTGAATAATTCGTTTTTCTGATTTACCAATCATTGTCCAAAAGTCAGATTGCCGGCTTTGATAATAGTCGACTCATTTATGCGCCTTGATACTATTGTGATAATTGTTTTTCATAGTGGTAAGCCGTTTTTAGAACCACACAGGCAGGTACCCAACCTGCCAATTTCAACTTCAAAGCAGTTATGCGTCCGATTTATTCATGGGACAGCCGTTATACATTACAATTAAGATTTCAACCTCATGTCTCAAACTGGGTAGCCGCATTCACGTTGTGATATCTGATGGCTCCGGTAACCACTTAACACCAGATGTGGGCCATGAGCTCGTTCACCCAACTAAGTAACAAAATAAAGCATACGGCTTCGCCAAAATTTAAGTGTTCAAGAATCAAGTTCAAAACTATTGAAACCTATACAGAAGAAATAGCTGTTAACGTAGGGTATTGCAGGGATAACATATAAGTTCAAATGAGAATGTTCGGAGAAATTGTTAAGACTGAAGTATATACTGTGGGAAAAAAAACAATGATAAAGGTTTTGTGGCAACGCACGTGCGTGTTTGTGTAGATTTTGCTGAAAACGAACATCCGAGTGCAATAACATCTTTCACGTACGATTTAATTTTTATTCTCAGGCACAAAGGCATCGTCTTCGAGTTTTCATTATGAAGAACAAAACTTTTTTATAACGTCTGGAGC